GCTGCTACTGCTGCAACTGCTACTTCTACTGCTACTGCTACTGCTACTGCTACTGCTGCTGCTACTGCTACGACGACGACGACCAGGACTAGGACTACTACCACGGCTGCTATTACTACTGCTGCTGCTGCTGCTGCTGTTGCTGCCAACTACCGGCTGTTGCTACCAAATACCGGCTAGGCTACTAACTCCTAAGTACTAACGACTAGCTACTAACTACTAGCTACTAGCTACTAGCTATGAACTACTAGCCACTAACTAAGAACTACCAACTGCTAACTAGTAGCTGCTGACTACGAACTACTACCTCCTACTACTACCACTACTACTACGACTACAACTATTACAACTACTACAAGTACTACTGCTGCTACTACTACCACTCCTGCTGCTGCTGCTGCTGCTGCTGCTGGTACCGCTGCTGCTGCTGCTGCTGCTGCTGCTGCTGGTACTGCTGCTACTGCTGCGAGTACTGCTGCTGCGGAAACCCGCCCCGCCCCGCCATGCAAACGTCTTGGCGGCTCAAAGACAGTTGCCAACGTCGCCCAGCTCTTCACCATGAAGCTGAGCTGACAAAACAACGTCTCAATGTTTCGTTTCACACCTGGTAGGGCTGTTCCTTCTCAATCGCGTGGTGCCATCATCTGATCAATGTCAAGAACGACAAACAACAATTTTCAATGGTTTCGTGTTACCACATCATGCATCACCACAGCTGATCTGGGTGACAAACTGCGGGTGTGTTGTCAAGAGTCGTGAGTTGGTTCTGCTTGTACAAGCTGGCAGTGGCTCAAACTGCACTAGCTGCATTGCTCCCAGCATGACGATGCATGGGAAGGCACAGCATTCTGCAAGAGGGATGAGCTATGGTGCATTGTTGTTTGCGATTGTGTCGTGCCAAAAGCAGAGGCTTGTAGGCGTTCACACGGTGTCAGACATTAGCAGGTGGAGTGTCGGCCAGCTGGCCGTGCGAGGACTTTAGCGGCAGGCGAGGCTCGGTTTCTGCGGATAACGAACCATCCCTGGATCTGTGGTTTCGGCAGGACATGTGCTGTTGGCAGCGGCGGGCTTGCTGTTGTGGAAGCTCAGCGCAGGAGGCTGCAGAGTTGGATTTTTTTTTTTTCACGGTGTGTGGTGGTTTACTCCCACACTCGGTGTGATACCGCAGGTTCTGATTCCACCTTCGTGGAGGGCATCTCCAAGGTAGTCAGTGGTGAAACAAGACAAGTACAGGCCAGTGGCAACGCTTGTGTAGGCAGTTTGAAAATCCCAAGTTTGATGTTAACCATGTTCCGAAGGGCAGCACAGAGCATGACTATCACGAAAGCTTCAGTTCGGATCAGTTTGTCTGGCTCTCGCATTTGCCGAAGGTGCATATGCAGTCGCTCAAGATACCCGTCGAGAAAAAGTACAGGCGTCTCTGTCTCTCACAGCATGGTCTTCCCACCTGTTCCCAAATCTGGGATGGCAGGTTTGAAGGTACAACTAGGGCGAAGTACCTCAAGCGCTTAAGACACCGCCGGTGGTGTGCGCAGTTTACGCCAGAAGCCCAGATGTTTGTGCTTGTACACAGAGTGTCGTAGCATGAATCGTCGGCTCTTCGTATGTGGGGATAAGGTATCCTCGAACATTCGGGTATGTTCTGAAATGGAACGACACAGCTCGTTTCTCAGAAGGGATTTTGCACCTGCTGGACAGAGTAGCAGCACGAGAGACTTTGATCGTCCCAGGCCGGGGAGGGTGTCGTCATAGACCAAGAGCAGACTCAGAAGTACTTGGTCATTCGTGATGCGGCTTGCTTGCAGTTGACAATGTTGGAGTTCTCTTGTGCGTGGGGCTGTTCAGCGGCTCTCCGTGCTTAGGAGATCGGATCCTCGTACCACGCCCACAAGACGCTGCAACCGGTGCCCCGACGACAGAACTTGGTCTACAGTTCCTGCTGTCGTCGCTTTAGCCTACCCTCGACTGCTGTTCTATTGCAGCTTTGCCACTGCTGTTGTTGCTGCTGCTCTTGCCATTGATTGCATATAACGTTCGAGCTTGCATGCCGACCGTGTAGCGGCTGCCCAGGCAGAGTTTGTTGAGTTTTTTGCCACCGATGAGATGGACGAGGTGACGCCGATCGCAGGAGTTGGCCGCTGATACATCCCGAGACACAACTATCGTTGTTAGACGTTGTTCCATGGAGGCTCAAGGAGCTACTATGAGGAATATCTAGAATCTAGTCGATTGCCCACGTTTGGGTTTCGGCCATGGCCGGTTCCGGTGCAAGTGCCACCCTCTTGCCATTCATATCAGGCCTGGGAATGGCTAGTAGGACGCTCACGGCACGTTTTGCTACATCTGTTCTTCTGTCAGGTAACCGTGCACAGGATCAACAAAGATTGGCAAGACTCCCAGTTGTATAACGGCAACACCTGAGCCGCTGTGTGGCTTTGGTGTGGCAGAGGTCCAATTCGCCGGCCCCGCAGGGCGACAGCTCCAGCTCCAGACCAACAATGGTGACTACCAGCGAGCTGGCTCCAATTTGGAAAAATCCCTCTCATATTGCTGAGCTCGCTTCCAGAGACAGGCAGTATGCGAGCGCAAGGAGTAGCCGCCCAACCTTTGCGGCGAAGGCTTGGGCTGGCCCGCAGGTTGCGCAAGGCGTGAGAAATCTCCAAGTCTCCAGGATGGGGACGTGGTGCAGTTCCTCTCGAAGACTTTCTATGTCAAAGAGACAGAGGAGTTTTCCATCATACGGGTGATCCGAATAGGCCAGGCCGGCCACGTGGGCCGAACCCAACGAGTGTGTCGTTGGCCTTTCATGAAGACATAAACTAAACTTCTAAACCTTGTGCTTCAGGCGACTTGCGGGGCTCCTGCTCCGTCACGTGGCAAACCCAGGAGATCATGCGATTCCAACCTGTCGGGCAATGAAGAATCAATTGTGAAACAGTGCTTGGCTTAGCTGCTAATAAGAAGCATGTTAGAAAGCGGCCACCAGAAATTGACCATGGCATCTATACATCTTGTGATTGCTTGGTGCAATGTGCGTTCAACTGTATATGATACTGTCTTGAGCTAAAACTCAGCACATGTGTACACATTCGGCATCTTTCAGTTTGTTCATCTATTGGTCAATGATTCTGTCTGTCTGCCTGCCTGTTTGCCTGTGTGACTGTCTATCTGCACTTTTGTTCATCGGCATTTTCCATCCTTTTGACTGCGAAACAGTGTCATCACACGCGAGCACCAGACATCATAGTCCCCAGCTGAATGCATGCATGCACGAAGATGCTGCTTTGCTCATAGACATCTCGACATCGTGTACATCTATACACAAAAACATGCGTGTGTTAGAACGAGGTTGTTTATATAATACACACACATAGACTCAGAAACACCCCACAACTAGGTTCTTTGCGGTTTTGTCCGAGTGCACACGGAATATTGAGACATCGGCAAAAAGGTGGGTCTGCATCCAGACGAAGTCGCGAAATGCACCCTTCGGCTCAGATACAAGAGTCCTGAACATCTTGTTTCTTGGTTAGTGGTTTATGCTGTCATTCGTGTGTTGCTATCTGAGATTCTCTTCCGGTGAGTGGACAGGTTTGATGCAAGACGTAGCCACAGAATCTAAAAGCGAGGCACTTCTACATCAGGCAAGGTGTAGCCAATACACAACTATTGCGTTATCTGCAATACGACTTAGAGGGATGGCAACCACCACTTGATGAAGGCAATGGTTACTTAGAGTAGCAAGGCTAGGAGCAACATTAGCTGTCACTAGCTAGCCTTGTCGCGTTCAGGATAACCCGTAAGTCGTACCGAGGTCTCGTACACATCGGAGGGTTAGATACCCTGTGGCAGTATCTTGGGTTTGCGAAGCACTTCATGCGTTACGGACTGTTAAACAAATGCATATGTCTGTACCTCCACATGTGGTCGCCTTTTCCTTTGCCTGTACACATGCTTGCAGGCAATATGCTGTACCGTGAGTGAGCAAAACCCCCCGTCAGGAAAACAGACAAGGGATTCCCAAGACTTGTATCATGTCCTTTCGGAAGTTTGTTTGCTGGATTTGCTGCGACTTGTTTCTTGATGTGCATGGCGTGCACGATGGGACACTTCCAATGCAGATTCCTAGCTGCCGTCTCCCATGCAGCGGCGAAGCGTTTGTCTCCCCTAACCCGTCCTGTTTCGGCGAAGCTGAATGAAATTCAGCCATACCGAGCTGTCGAGGTGAGGTGAAGGTCTACCCGATCGTTGCTGCTGGCAGATGCAGTGTGACTTTTTCCCCCTCCCGGTTGAAAGAACAGACACCGGATGCGTATTTTGCATGTTCGAGCAACATCTTTCATGTTCATTGCGAGCGGTGATAAACATACTTGTCCAGACTGGTCGGGCGATAGAGGTGTATTTGTGAACACTTGCCGACGGTGTCTTCCGAATGCAGGACGGTTCGGCGGTCGCGGGGCACAAGTACGTGGAAGGTGGCCGGGTCGCAAGACGATTCGAGGAAGGGTGCGTGAAGAGTTTGAGGAGTGGAACATGGGTAGTTTGGGGATGCAGCTGACAAGTAGGAGCGGGATGGTCATGACATTGAATCCCTGTCAGTTCCTGAGGGGGCGGAAGAATCACTTTCGGCCCGGGTGAAAGCATTCGGACTTTTCAGAACCTTGGACGCACATGATTTCAAGTGAATTTACAACGTCGATGACTGCTTATGTTGCGAGGGTAGAAATCCTCAATGATGACGCCTTTGACACGACCTTGGAGTTTGACGTTCAGCTTGACGAGCCTGAGAACTGCCTCATCGATCCGCGATGTGCCAAATGTGTGGTTGCTCGGCAGTGTCAATGGCCCGGGTTTCTCTTGTGGTCGACGGAATGCTGTCTTCAAGCTAGCCACAGCAGCAGCAGCAGCAGCAGCAGCAGCTGCAGCAGCAGCAGCAGCTGCAGCAGCAGCAGCAGCAGCAGCAGCAATGAACAGATAGCAGTAGCAGTGGTAGTAAGTGATAGGAGCAATACAGAAACCGGCACAGCGGTGCGAGGAGGTTGGGGGCAGGAGTGGTGGGAGGAGGAGGAGTCGCAGACGTAAGAAGGCGGCAGCAGCAGCGATGAATTTGAGGGTGTTTACGGCATTTCCCGTGATGGAGGTAATGATCGTGGACGACGACTTGTTTCCGTCAAACGACCACCAGGAGGTTTGTGGTTAGTTCAAGCTTCCTGGCACATTGACCATGTATGTGGTCAGCCGTTGTCAGCATCTGCCCAACTGTAGCCGGAAAGCCACCCGCTGATTTTGACCCATTCGCGACTGAACGCTTCTGGATCTCTCCGGAATCGGGAGGTCATCGAAGACCATGACGAAGAGGCGCTCTACGAGGCCAGCTCCTTGCACCTGAGGTCCAGAAGCTGAAACCTACCTTTCTTGTGCAGGTCGGCTTTAGCTTGCTCAAGTCCTTCATGGGTACTTCGGCTGTAACCCGTGGCGATTTGCCGAGTCATGTCTGGACTTCCGAGACTTTCGGCTTGAGTGCTTCGCCTGTCGATATGCAACATATCCTACCGTGTGGCCCTACTAATATTGTCTTCTGGACTATGTGGACCTTTCAAGAGTCGGTGCCTTCATGTATCTGACAGTGAGCTGCTTCTCAGGCTTCTGTTTTCACCATGTCCCGGAGATTTGGTGGACCCTCGGACGCCTCATCACCTCATCCACTTGAGCATGTTTGACAACTTCTCCCTTTTTCCACCAGAGTTCTCGAATGCCCCGGCTAGGAAGACCATCTTGGTGTTGCTTCTCGCCAATCTTGGCAACCTTTACTACCTTGCGACCATCTTCCTCAGGCTGGTCGCGTGGCGTGTAGCCTGCAAATGTCAAACAGCCCACATGGGATATACCCCAAACCCTGAAACCCTGATGCTGCTTTTATGGGCCGCTTTGCGCCAGGGTTTACCTCGTTGACACCGTATTGAATACCGAGGAGCCTTTGCTGGGGCCAAGAAAGAGTCTGAGTTGACATGTTTGCAGGACCCAAGCACATCGGAACGCCTTTGGGTCCAGTGCCGAGAAAGCTGGGAGAAGAGCCAGATGTTGTGCGAGTGTGCAGTCTGTGGGTGAGTCTGTGTTTTTGAGTGCGGAAGCACAAATGCTGCAGTCAGCACTTTTCTCCCTTGATCAGGGAACTCTCGTGCGGGTGTGGCATGCCCCGGACATTTGTTGTTGTCGTGGCGGCATTGTGAAGCCAAAGCTCTGGATCGGGCGCGGAGGCTGTGTATGAATTTGCTTGGTCAGCCTCCGCCGATGTTTCTCCGCTTGCGCGAAGACGGGCAACTGAGATTCAACCGGATGCACCTGCCGAAATGACGAAATCTCACAGTGGTTTGCATGCTACCCTCGCTGTTCTCGTTTTCCTACCAGGGCCATCATGCCGACTGGCCACTGCAACATACTGAAACAGGAATGTGATCGGCATGACTCTGCACAAGGGCGACCCGAAACCCTGAAACCCGCGGAGACTTCCCCCTTGGACCTCTGAGGTTCCCGGCGATCGGGATGCGACGGCCGTCGCACTCGGTTTGGCCTGGATCCTACCAAACGCTCGGATCTTAGCGTCTCTCATCAAAGGCTTGAAGAGGCTTGCAGTCTTTGGGATCCATAGCGGCATAGCGATCCTTTAGGGGCCACAACGATCCATTTAGGGGTTTCTAGTTTGCTGTTTCTGCACCAAGAGACAGAAGAATCCGAGTTCCTTCTGCTGGGCACGGACTACTTTGAGATGGCCGTGTTGGAGATGGGCTGCTTGCTTTATGACCTCAGCGGTCTTGTGCTTTGGGGGGACTTGAGGCTGAAGCCTGCGATGCCTCCGCCTCCGTCCTAGGCTTCAACATCCGGTACCATCTCCGTGTGAATCTCTTCCGGAAGTATCTGCGCTACACGCCCGAGTCCCGGGCGAAGGTTCCGATCCAGGAGCCGCAGCGGCGGTTGAGTGAGAATGCACGTCCGGTTCCAGGATCTGCGCTTTTGCAGCTGGCTGCGTGTAGCAGCCGTGTCTTGGTGTTTCAACTAGCTCGCTTGGAGTTTGCAGAGGACTTGAAGATCAGCATCATGGAAGACATTCCGGATCTAGTCTCGGATGGCTGCCGATCTGCAGCCAGAGCATGGAGTTGCCATTGCCGTCCATGAAGGCTCCAAAAGCTCAGGTTACTTAATCATCTTTGAGCTTTGGGCGATGCTTGGAAAGATTGTGATGGTGGGCATCTTCATGTTGCGGAAGCACCCCCGGAGCACGCACCCTACTGTACTGGCAAGGGTCAGAAGCCAGACCCTCTTTGAGAATGGCAATCGGCGACAATTCCCTTGATCAGGTGCTGTCCCACTTTTCGTGTACCCAATTCTCATCTCCGTCTACTTGGCCGTGACGTATCGGTCGCCAGGCTGCTGAATTGGCAGGGCTCGGACCGAAAGCTCTTGCTCCTCGTGATGTCTTTCGCTCTGATTCCAAAGTGAATGGGCGGGGTTCCCCGATGCAATCCTGCCGAGGAGAAGACTAGCCCTCATGGCGAAGGCGCTGTTCACGTGATGGGAGTAGGCGAGTTGGTGGGGGTTGTCAGCATGGTGTCAATTTTGTGAGGAAGGCGAGGGACAGAGCGCCACGATCGGGACTCTGATGCATGTGAACAATGCATCTTGGCTTGGGCTCCTTGCAAGTCGCTTTTTGAGCTGCCCGAGCCAAGGCACAGAAGCTCATAGGCTGCTACAACAAGCGCAGCTATGTGGTGCGCACCTTCCCTGCACACGAGCTTCACTTCTTGTGACCGTTGTGGGTGTATCTTAGCATGAGTCCCAGAACAATGTTAGTGTGAACTCAGTTGTTTCTGCAGGGCGCTTCGAAGAATCGCTGCGGAACCAGAGAAAGTGGGTCATGGATCTGTTCCTCGGTCGAGTTCGAATTGGAGTAAGTCCCGCTGCCTGACCTAGGGGAAGTGCGTGAGCGAGAATCCTGTGCCGATGTGCGTGTGCTTCTTGTGTGCGCTCGTGCTGCTTCAACGTTGGCATTGAACAGGAAATTCTTTGACTTCTGGAATGCACAGCTGATTCCCTGGATCACGCTTCTCGCGATCGGCACATACATAGGCCTCTCGTCTCAATTGTGTAGTTTCCTGCATGGGAAGTTGAGTAGGAGGCGGAAGTCGTCGTCGTGGGGATGGGCATCGGAAGAGGTAGATTAGCTTCATACACTAGTTCGAGCGATACTTTGGCCTAGACTTGGTGTCGCATGTTTGGCTGCTGTCGCATTCGTAGCGTTATCAGTGGCCGTAGCATGTTGTAGCTTTCTGTGCCAAGCATCTTGCTATTGACTCTCGACTGTGTTGGATATTGTTGAAGTTCGCCTTGTTCGTGGTGGGACTTGGTGTCATTGGAAGTAAGATTTGCATCTTTGTTGATGCTTCTTGATGTAAGATGTTAGTCTCTTCTCCGATACTAAATCAGAGTCGTTGGCAGACGAATCGCTGGTAGTGCTAGTAGTGCTCCACCCTGAATGCGACATCATCGACCTGTTGCAGGACCTCAGGTGATACCGAGTTTCGTTTCGTTTGTTGACTCTTTTGACTCCATCATAGATGGGGCCTCAGACGAGACGCAGCTGCCGTAAATGCCACGCAGCAGCTTGTACAAGCTGAGGATACTTGAGGGCGGGCCAACAAGAGATCTCGAAGCATGACGGTGCACCGCACACCGGATTTCCGACCTTTGCTGAGGACTTTCTTCCCGGCTCGTTCTGGGTGGAACAACCTCGCTTGGTTCCTTCCTCGCCACCATCAACGTCTACAAGGTCGCTAAAATATTCACGGCTAGTGGCCGCTGCGGCTGGGTTCAGAAGAAATCGTGAATCGTTCAGCTGAAGTCTTATCCATGCCGTCATGAGACGGATGGAGGCACCCTGAATCCCAATCTCCTCAAGTTAGGTCTCAAGGCCAAAGACTCCTGCCTAACCGGGACCAACCCAACTCTAGACTCTAGACTTGCGCACTTTCTCAAACAAGATCCGTGCAGGATCTCGGAGACAGGTTTTCGACGATTCTGGAAGGCACATCCCAAATGCAGCTGCGCGGTTTTTTGAGTCTTTTCGTCACTTTCTACCAGCCGAGCTGGCCTTTGCACCCAAAAGCCCTGGCCATCCCTGGCCCCCGGCAGGCCTGGAATGCCTGAGCAAGGCAATCAGTCCTCTGGCTGCGCTCACCACGCAGTTCAACCTGCCCATCGAGTCTTGCCCAGTGTACGTCTGTCTGGTGCTGCTGCAGCACCTTGTGCCACTGTGCTGTGGTTTTGAAGAAGAGGGTCCCGGATGCTCCTGCTCGCGACACAGATGTTCCGTAGAGAGGTGCTTTGCTCGTTGATGCTTGTCAAGGTGTGCACGCACATAGCCAGCCGAGGACATACCAGAACGCAGTGAAGCCCACAAAATGCGAGAGGAGTTCGTGCTGGGCCTTTCAACGGTGCCTTATCCGAAAGTCCACGATAGCGCCTAGAGGGTTGGTGAAGATATTTGGTTGTGGTCCTCCAAAACAGTTGTTCCATACATGACTGCACTGGATGCCTTGCGAGGCACCGATGTTTGACTCGATTCCGATTGTCTTCAAAGACATCAGCATCGAGCTTTGGCATGATTTTTGCAAGCTGTTAGGCTGCCGGGTGGGAGTCCGTGTGGATGGGCGTGTTTGGGAGGAGTGTTGAACATGTTGGGCGGCTCAACACTTCGGGCTTTTGTTGATTTTGCCGATGGGAAGGCTTACTCAGTCAGGAATCCAGGAAGGAAGGCCCAAGGCGGCCAGAGATCCTTTGACAATGTAGCAGCGTGACATCGTTGTGCTGGGCACCTGCAGAGAGCACAGCACTCGGAAAGCCTTTTGGGTATTGCAAGGAGCATTCCAATTTGTCGAATTTGTCAACACAGGCTCCGCAAGGCACTGTTCGATGTCACGAGCGCTTTGTTTCCCTGTCCAGCGGTGGACGTGCGCGATGACCAGGATCGATCATCCAGATTTTGGGTCCGCATGACTCAGGCCGGTTTTTGCACTGTCTCTGCACGGAGGTTGAACAGCGTGCTTATGCCAGGGAAGGGGTCCATCCTGAAGAAGGTTGGAGATCTTGTGACGACCTCCGGGGGCCGCGTCTTGTGCCTCGGGCTGCCCATCCTGCTCCATGAGGTCTCTTACTTTCGCCTGACTTTCTGTGTGCGGCGCGCGTGCACATTAAGGATTTCTCCGCACCTTATGGTCCTGCAAGTGCCCCATGATGCTTGAATGCATGCAGAAGTGTTCATAGCACACCTGGTCCCTTACTGTGCCGTATCTGTGGGGCAACTGCAGCCAAGGAGCCACTATTCATAGAGTCGTTTACTCAGATGACAGCATGGTAATGCAACGCTCTGGTCTGTGCGAAGCTTTCGGCAGCATGTGACACTGAGGAATGGTGGCCTCTTAGGAAACCTGAGTCTCGCAAAACATTTGTGGCGGGCTTGGCAGCAGATTCCTGCTCAAGCTTGAACATGCTGTGCAAAATCCCAGTGAGTCATGTCAAGGGAGTCTTCGGATATCGGAGACCCTGCACGTGGACGCAGCACCTTGATTTGCAAGCCCCACGCCTCCTGCCTTAAGACGACTCATTGAATCTCTCAACCCTGAACCCTCAACCCGAAAGCAGAAATCCCAGAGGCCTCAAACGTAGAGAGCCTTATACAAGCCTCAATCAAGGCCCGCCGTGGCACAGCATTGCCCTTTGCAGCTGAGGAATCCTGCGCCGACTTGGCCTTGACAAGGACTGAAGCCACCTAAGGGCCCACGCCTGCTTATTATTATGTATATATGCTACCCCCCTATATACCAATAGATTCATGCATTTTGACATGTTCGCAATGTACATATATATATATGTACATATACATATACATATACATATACATACACATACACATACACATACACATGCATGCATACATACATACTTCACTTCACTTGCGCGTTGCAAAGTCTCAGATCTCTGCGAACGAGAATGGGACATGACGATTTCGTCCCGGCAGCAGCTGTGGACTATTGCCACATCCCAGAAGCCTCACCTGAGCCCTCGGTGCGAACACCCCTTGAGCAGGGCCCGGGCATGCTCACTCTTCGACTCTAACATAGAAAAACAAATAAGAGTCCGAGCAACCTCGTTCAAACTCCTGGTGATCACATGCCCTTGCTGGCACTCCATCGTCCAGCTTGTAGAAACTATCGTGGCATAAAAGAACCGCCGTGTATTGGCCGCTATCTGGAGTATCGCCATGATGGACTGTGAAGGCACACAATCTGTACTCGCACCGTCGGGTTTCCACTCCATGAATGAAAACAAGCACAAACACTCTCTGGTCAGGCACAACATGAAAATCAAGCTTGATACTGCGCTCATCCCGACTGCTGTACTGGAAACGGCCGACTTGTAAGGTCAACCCCTGGGGTGGCGCGAGAAGGGCATGTGACTGATCCTGCAAGTGCCAAGTGTCAAGCAACTGCTGAATGGTGCAATCACCCCTATCAGGCAGAAGGCACAACGGGCTAGAACAACCCCCATCATACTTCATCAGTCGGCCCTCAGCCTCGAGCCTCGCCTCCCAAGTAGCTCCGATCTGCACTTCAAGACCGGGGCTCTTTGCTACCAGGAACTGCAAAAACTCAGCCATGTCATCATCCGGCGCCTGCCACGCCCCTAGCCAGGTCCGCCAAAAAGGATTTCCCCACACATACGAGGTCCCGGTGGCGGAGAAGAAGCCCCTAAGAAACTTGCACAGTCTATCAGGAAGTAAAGGCTCCGGCCCGGGGGGACCTCGCAGCTAAGACCCACAAACATTTGAGCAACGCATTGCAGTAGTAATGATTGCTACGATTCCCCAGCCGTGCTTTCAGGACCTGTTCCACCATTGGTTCTGCTTCTCTGCGAACAGTGCCAGCCGCTGTGCCAGTGGCCCCCTCTGTAGGCGATCGTGGCGCATGTAGGCCCCTGCACTGATCCACACTGCCGATCGGCTGAGCCGGTTGAAGAGGTTCCATGCCCTGTCCGCCTCCTCCACTCGGAACCCGATATCCAGCATCATCGGGAGCACCGGTGAGTCGTACTCCGCCGCCATGGGTCTGGTGGCATGAAATCGGTTCACCACCAAAGGGGCCTTGCACAAAACCATGAGCTCCGTCAGTGCCTCCTTGACGGTGGTGATCTCCATCGACTTGACCGTGGGGTCCACCACATGTTGTTTGCGAGTGGCGTCCCACTTCATCCCCATGACCTGATTCCCGGTCTCGCTGAGCCACCCGAGTCTTGTGGCCTGCATCTTCTTCTCCTCGTCGGCGATCATCTGCTCGAAACGGCTGAGGACGGAGGATAGCAAGCCCTGCATCAGGATGACCCGCATCGGGCTCTCCAACTTCTCTGGGTGCTTCTCCTTCAGGTCCTTCCACGTCAGGCCTGTCTTGTAGAGGGCCGCTGCCATACTTCCCGGTACATCGGTTCGAAGGAAGAAAATGTAGGCGGTGTCGAGCCTCGCAATGTTGATTTGGTTGTCGTGCCGGAGGATCAAGGCTGTGAGCATGGTGACCTGGGCCTTCAATCTCTGCAGCTCCTTGCGCGTAGACGCCTCGTCTGGCTGCTTGTCCTTGGCCTGCTGAGACGTCCCTGCGAAGGAGTTCCCTGACTGTCGGTCCTGCTGACGTTGATGCTGCTGCTGCCCTTTGCCCCGGCCTGCTTTGTGCCCTTGGCCTTTGCTTCCTGGTCGAGAGAACTTGGAGAGCCTGTCCGGAATCATCTCCTCGTCCTGTTCCTGCTCCAGGTTGGGCTCCGTGAGGGTCTGATCTGTCCGAACCCTGTTGGGCGAAGCCACTCCAGCAAGCTGCAATGCCGACGGGAGTCCGATGGTGCCCGGAGGGGCCAGCGCTTCCATCAGCTGAAGCTCCGAGGTCGCATCTGCCAGGCTTCGGCGCTGCATCTCCAGCGGGTTCTCCGCCTCCGTCGCACCTGGTGGGGCCATGACGCGGCACTGAGTCGAGTGGAGGTCCACGTGCAACTCGCGTGTACAAGAAGGCACCACTGAACAATGCAACACAAGATCGCAAGTGAGCGTCTCTGCGATTGAAGGTTTCACCACAGAATCTGCACGGACTAGTGAGCCCCAGGTTGCTCTGCTTGACAAAAGAGGCACACTTATGAATGATGTCAGTGAGCTCCGGATGTTTGGCCAACATGTGTCGCTTGACATACTGAGGCTTCAGACTCCAATGGTAGCACTCGACACAATGATGCAACTTCTGTTTGACCAAGCTGTGTGATGCAAGATCGAGCCATGTGCACTGCCGAGCCCTCTCTAAGATATCCGGATTATGAACGAGGGCTTCTGATAGAAGAGCAAGTGTGTGACCAGGCTGAGACTGATCGTATATGGCTCTCAGCATTTCGCAACCCCTAGCATTGATGTGGTAGTAGAAGTTGGGCCAATTATTGAATCTCTTCAAGCAATGCCTGCACCACGGCATTCCTGATTTTGCGTGCTCCATGTTGGCTTGCTGAGCCGATTGTTTCACTTCCTGCTGTCGTGCAAGGCGTGCTCATCGGCAAAATGCTGTAGGAATGTATGCCGCTTGAGAGCCGCTGCTGTGCTAAACCGGATGCCGCACTCGCTGCACTCAAAAACTTCATGGAGGATCTTGTCCACAGGAATGAGACGAACGTTGGACGCTCGGGCTAGGTCGCCTACGGTTGAAGGCTTCGTGGTCACGGCGTGTTCCGGCTTAGCTGGCTGCAGAAAACCCCTCAGCATCTGCCGCCATTGCATCTGTGCCTCTCCAGGTCGGAGTCGAATATGAGCGCCCAGGTGTGTGTCCAGGGCCTCTCGATTTTTGATGGCCTGCAGAATCCACTCGGTCGGGTGCCTGATGCGATGTCGTTGCAAGAACTGCCTGTTGGACTCGTGCGTGAGCCAGCTATACGATCTTGCGACTGCCCTGGCCTGAGTGATCAACAGGGTCTCGACTTGTTTGGCCTCCGTGGGTGGTAGCCCTGTGCAATCTAAGCCATGTGCCAAGCACGGTGGGATACAGGCCTTCCACAGCTGCATACGTAGGCTGCACGGTACAGACTGACACCTCAGTACAGGTTTAAGGCGCTGGAACTGACTGGTGGCGAGCTGCATCCGATGTTGAGCCGTCTGCTGCTCGAACTTCCGGAATCCAATCTGTGCTCCTAAGTATGTGTGCTGATGTACCACTTTGAGGTCAACGTTGCGATCCTGAATCTTGAAGCGGATGTGCACTCCGTCCTTCAGCGTCACCAAGTACTTCGACAACGCCTTGTGTGCTTGTGGGACCCGGACCTCCAGGATGACCACCGTTTTGCGCGGGCTGATGGTGAGGCCTTTGGAATCCAGGAATCGCAGGACCATCCTGGCCTGACGATAGGCATCCTCAAGGGCTGAGCCGGAGTCGATGATCCAGCTGAAGATGAAATCGTCAGCATAGGTAGTGTTCGACCTGGACACGAAGACAGTCAAGTTGTTCTGGGATTCCAGCTGTTTTAGCAGCCACCCTGAGAACACTGCCCAGAGCACCGGCGACAATCCGCATCCTTGCCGCAATCCCTTCAGTAAGCTGACCTCACCTCTGTGTCCCCCGTGACCAACCAGTAACCGAGCCTGCCCATGGATCGCCAGTATGGCACTGACCAATCCCTCGGGGACAGCCGCGTCCAACAATGCTGTTCGAAGGTCCTCCCGTGCCACCGCATCATATGCTTGGGTGATATCTAGCGAGAGCATCATACCGCCCAGAAGGGGCCTGCGAGGGCCGGCTGCTCGTCTTGCAAATAGCGAGTTCGTCTGCGCAGCGAGCAGTGTTCTGACCTGGGCACAATGTCCAACTATTCTCTCGAGAGCCTGTGCAAGACCCCTAGAGGGGATATATGCAAACACCGGAGTTTGGGCCAAGTAAGTGACCGCGTAGGGTCGGAGCCGATTTGCCAAGGCGGTGGCCAAAAGCTTCGCCATTGGCGGTAAGAGGCAGATCGGCCTCAATTGGCTCACAGCAGTGTGAGACTTGCCAGGCTTCGGTAGCAGAACGAGTTCGCAGGCGCACCGCTGCCGGGGGAGGACAATTGGCCCCGGTTGGAAGATGGCCTCAAATTGTCTGGTGATCACTGGGGCTATCCGCTCAGCCAGGAGCTTCCAAAGCACCGCGGCTGCAGAGGTCGAGGGCAGAGCCTTGTTCGGGGCGAGGTGATGAAGGGCTCCGGCCACCTCGGACATAGTAAGGTTCAGTGGCTGTGTCAGGACCTCCACTGCCGGCGGAGGCCCGGCATAGAGCCCCTGGAAGTAGGTCATGATATCATGGAATTCCTCTTCATGGGTTTGTAGGGCACCAGCCGAAGTGCGAAGCTGAAGTCTGCGACGCTGCGTTTTGGGTGCCACCCTGCGAGCAGCTTGGTAGACATTGCTCTCTTGGACCAGCGTGGCCACCATCTCAACCTTCTTTCTCCTGCCTCTGCGCCGCAGTTCCCGAAGCGTTGCCTGAAGGCGGCTGGCATGTCGCCAGCCCTGCCATATGGCCAACAGGGGTGTGCAGCGAGTGTGAGCCTGAAGCTGACTGGCCTGATTCCGAAGGTAGGCCCGGAGAAGCCAGAGCTGCCTGACCAGGTTGTGAGTGGCTGTGTCAGGGGCTGCGCCAGGTCCCTGCCGATCCTCCCGTATGGGCGTGGCCTTCACCGCCGACTTGTCCCATGCCTCTCGCAGAACAGTATCTAGATCCAGCA